AGTGGAGCGACAAGTGCAAGAGATGTTAAAAGATGATATTATTGAGGAAGCTGATAGCCCGTACAACTCTCCAGTGCTGTTAGTAAAAAAAGCGAATGGGAAGTATAGATTCTGTGTTGATTTTCGACAGTTAAACAGTATGACAGAGTTAAGACCGTGTGCCATGCCAACAGTGGTAGAAACTTTAGATCGCCTACAAGGTGCGAATGTGTTTTCGGTTCTCGATCTTCGCTCAGGATACTGGCAGATACCGATAAAACAAGGTGATAGAGATAAGACGGCTTTCATCGTGGGTCAGACACAATATCGATTTAAACGCATGCCGTTTGGACTAGCAGGTGCACCGTTTACGTTCAGACGACTGATGAAGCTATTACTTAAGAACTTGAAAAACGTGGAGGTTTATGGTGATGATCTCGTCATATACAGTCAAAACGAAAACGATCACGTCAACCATGTAGAAGCCGTGCTGCGACGCATCGAAGAGTTTGGACTACGCGTCAACAAAACCAAGTCTCAGATAGCCAAAAAGAATGTTACTCTGTTGGGACATAAAGTGGGAAATGGTGAGATTAAACCACTGCCGGAGAAAATTTTGACGATTAAAACGATTCCAGCCCCGAATTCAAAGAGAAAACTGAGACAATTCTTGGGTAGAGCAGCGTTTTATAGTCGCTTCGTGAAGAACTTCAATGAGATAGCAGCCCCTCTATACAGGCTACTAGGTGAGCCAAAGTTTGTTTGGTCGGAAGAATCGCAGAGGACATTCGACAGAATTAAACAGCTGCTCGACCACCAACAAATGACGCTAAAACTACCTGTGCCAGGAAGACAGTTCACAGTGTGCACAGATGCCAGTGACTACGCTATAGGTGCGGTCCTAAGACAGGACGAGGGAATCGTTGAGTATGCCAGTAGGGTTTTGACCCTCACAGAGAGAAAGTATTCAACGATAGAGAAAGAATGTTTAGCAATGGTATGGGCAGTCGACAAATGGAGACCTTATTTACTCGGCCGGCGGTTCCACATCGAAACTGATCATAAGCCGCTACAATTTTTGAAGACAGCGAGAGACCCACGGGGGAAGTTGTCACGGTGGATGTTGCGTCTTCAGGAGTACGATTTTACGATCTCACACGTTCCTGGAAGTGAAAATGTCTTGGCAGATTTGTTATCGAGACCAGAAGATGAGTCTGAGTTGCCCGAGGTCGCTTACGGAGTGCATGCAGTAGAACAAGACCCACTAAGACTTGCACGTAGGCAGAGGTTGGACGATACGCTGAATACAGTAATACAGGTGATCACCAACGGAATAGAAGTGGATCAAACTACGGCGAGTAAGGAGCTAACCACACTACTCAGACAGAGGGATCGACTCAGAGTGAATGCCTACGGGACTCTGACCTGGCGAGAGAACGACGGAAGCTGGCTGGCTGTCATACCTCAATCGTCGCGCCACGACATGATAGAAGAATGTCACCAGCTAGCGCATACAGGCGTGGCCAGAACGACCGACCTCCTAAGACAAAGTATGTACTGGCCAGGTATGAGAGAAGACGTAGCAAGATACGTACTTGGATGTCCACGGTGCCAGCTGATGAAAGGTGACCGGTATATACGACCACCACTTCAGTCGATTCCAGTTACCGCGATAGGTGACTTGTGGTCCGTAGATGTCATGGGTCCATTTCCTCAGACATCCAATGGTAATCAGTACCTCTTGGTGATGACGGAACACGCGACACGATGGGTAGACGCCGTAGCAATCCCAGACCAACGTGCAAGAACCGTGACAGATGCAGTAGTTAGACACATTGTTGCAGACCACGGCGTACCGAAGACAATACTGACAGACCAAGGTCCCTGTTTCGAGAGTGAAGAGTTTACTTCCCGTTTGCAACAGCTGGGCATCAAGAGGATCAGAACGACCCCATACCATCCACAAACGAATGGCCTAACGGAGAGAAACAACCGTACACTGAAGGAGTGGCTGGCTTCGAAGGGCGGGAACTGGGAAACGGAGCTTCCACTGATTTTACTAACACATCGGGCTACCACTCAGGAAACAACGAAGAAGTCACCCTTCCAACTGATGTATGGTAGAAAACCACGATTACCGGTACACAATGAGACCTGGCCCATGCACCAAAAGTGGAGTACGACGAAATTAAAAGCAGAGAGGAAAGAGGCAGTCAAGAATGTAATACGGAAGCAGCGCAGTGATGTCACGAAGTCTCAGATGAAAGAAAGGACGCAGTGCATTACCTTTGCAGTCGGGGACCAAGTGAAGTGTAGAGACAGGAGATATACAGTTGGAGGCGGGCTAGGTTCACGGAAACTCCTTCCAAAGTGGGAAGGACCATACACAATCACAAAAAGACGGGGTCAAGTATATACCATCCGAAGAGGTGATAAACAGAAACGAGTTAACGCCAGTCAGCTCCAAAGATGGGTACAGTGGGACAAGCCGGTCAGTAACAATCCTCAACTAGAGGATGTAGCACCCAGAAGGTCGGAACGTCTGCGCACGAAGCTATTTGACGGGGGGACGAGTGTGGTGAGAGCAGGCTGCTAGCCGATTGGTTGGCACTAATCTACGTTAATGTCTAGGTCACTAATATGGGCCGTGAGAAAATATGAACAAGGCTGTTTCAACAACCAATCACAGCAAACTTAAATGTGGACAAATATGATTCGCAGATAGATGGCTCTACTTTCCGAGAAATATCGAAAACAACCAATCATAAGACTGTGTTTGTCTGCTTAACTTCCGAGAAACAACCAATCAGAAGACTGCCTTTTTCTGCTTGCATAAGCCTTATTAATGCATATAAAATATATATAAATACGTGTTGATTTTCGTAATAAAACGATCTGTTGCCAGTCCTTGTCTTCTGTTGTTACAATTGTTCATCTAAGTGTGATATAACTGAACCATAGTACATTTTCTCTCAATTTCATATCTGTGTATGTAGAGAGCATCTATCCAGCTGAAGCGTCCTACCGAAATTCGATGAATTCATCAAATCTTATTTTATTAACACTTTTGTTGCTTGTTTTGAATAAAAGCTTGTTTATGATCTATTTTCATTGGAAATTTTAAAAAAATACACATTGATGAATAATGAGAGAGTTAGGTCTCTGTGAAAAAAAAACCATACTAGTTACTAAGGTCACTACATACTTGGAAACCAATCACTATATATGAGTGTGTGTGTGTGTGTACACGTGTCAGTGTGTGTATATTGAACAAAAAACAAATGAGTCTTGTGAGAACAATTTGTTTTTCTTCAAAAAAAGGATCGATAAAAATACACATGAGAAACTCAGATAGCTATTTGTTTACTACTTATTGAGTTACTGGGTTACTACTCAAAAAGGACTATGTTATATTGCTGTAATCGAGTGAGCTACAGAGCCTGGTTGGGGTCCTCGGGATGGTAGAAACCAATGGCGGTTGGAGACAATTGGTGATATGACTAGCTCAAAATCCTCGTTCTCAATGGCTGGCGCAGATGCATCCAATCCTTGTGACTTATTGTTCTTCGATATTATTATCCCTTTTGTTTCATAATGCCTGTCTACTGTCTCTATTATGCATTTGTTTCTACTTTCTTCTCTTGCTTTGTGTTTTACACGGAAGGTATGTGGCGATTTGAACTGCTGCACTTCGGTGCAAAGTTCTATGTTGAAAACAGATAGACAGACAGATGTCATATTGAGCAGAGTATTAAAGATCGTCAGTAGAGCAATTGGTGTGCCACTTAATCAGCTCATTAGTACTGTATTCAACTATTGGTTTGTAGGGATTTGGTTGATTGGTTACAGGATTTCATCATGAGCTGACATTGGTTAGAGAACCATTGGAAAACCTGGGAGTACTGGACAGCGGTTTCGTCCTAGTTTGGGACTCCTCAGCAGTACGCACCCACCACGCTTCGAACACAGGACCATCTGGTTACAAGGCGAGCTCGTATACCATTAAGCCACTGGGACTCAGCCGATCCAATGGCTCATGAATTCTAACTTCTGACAATTGACGATATAGCGCAACCGCTAGCCAATGTCTTCGGCGAGTATTTGTCCTCACACCCGACCTGCTGTATCCTACAGGTCAAAGTTACTGCTGTAGTTGACAGACACCTGAACTAATGTGAAAAATGGTCTAAATCCATACTGTTTGACTCCCAACACTCCGCCCTCCCGATACACAACTCTCCCATTTCTTCCATCTCAACAGGTAGGACTGGAAGTCATTATAAAAGATTACACGCCTGTACGACTAAGTACAAAAACTCAGCGATACCATATTTGGCACACCCGCGGCCAATGCGATAGAATATAATGTGTTGAGTGTGAAACACATACGACTTAACTATACTATTAGCAAAATTAATTGGCTTTTTTATTCCCTCCAATTTGTAATCTATGGTGGCACTATTTCAATTAACTTCTAATTTTATATATTATTACTATTATCATTACTTTACACTTTTTGTACATTTTTGACTTTAATCTCACATTTTTATTCCTTTACGTTCCCAGTGGAAGGAACATACGGCGGCTTCAAGCTAGAGGCTTGAAGTTTCGGTAGCAGTGGTGGTGTTTATTTTTTTACGGGATGGGGTTGCTAGCCAGCCTCATGCCTAGCCAACCTTCCCTCTTCACCAGTCTTACTATCGGCTTAGCAAGCGAGGTAAAGGAGTGCGTCCAGTGGCTGGGGATCGAACCCCGAACCACACATGCCATGGTTGGTGAACACATTTTACCGCTGTGCCACCGACACACCTTGTTTTCACTGGTAATGTCAAAACACCTGCTATTATCAATCCTGTAATACCATTTTTTTCTATTTTGTTTTTACTATTATCGAGGGAACTAGATGCAGTAATATTGTACCAAATGCTGAGAATTCCACACTTTAGTATAAGTACGGTTTTCGAATAAAGAAAATTATTGCTATTATTATTATTAAAAGAATGTGGAAACAAAAGACTAACTTTTATCGATATTCAATGGTTGGTTGATGTATTCATCTAGATCAAACGGTGGAATATCGGAGATAGCTTCAGAAGATGGAATTACCACCTTTTTAGCTGGACCACTCTCTCGTCTATGGATAAACACAATAAGAATGATATAAGATATACTTTAATGTGATGATGAATAGGCTAGTACAACTAAATATTGGTTGAAATTTACTATATATATATATATAAAAAAGAAAACACGTAAGTTCGGCGAATTTAGGTAGAGGCTGTTTTTCGAGCGAATTCATTTTCTGCTTTAGCTGTCCAACTGCATTTATTATATGAGATTTCTTGATCATGAAAGAGGGTAGTAACAAAAGTGATGAGTTGTCACAATGACTGTCAGTGAGGTCAACTACATAGGTCCAATTAGTAGATCACGGGTAGTGAGATTATCAGAACATGAGAATTTAGCTAAGGTAAGAATGGTTGACCCCACCCGAGAAGATAAGTAATTTAGAAAAAAGCTCAGCGACTTTACTGCATGCATTAAGGGAGAGATTGATAACAGAAGCTGTGTTTATCAAATCAACTGAGAGAGAATAGGTGTAATAGGAATGATTTATCACCTGTCCCTGATATCTGGAAAATTCCACTACCCCTACGACGACAAATAGGAGAAAACAAAGAAAACTATAAAACTCAAGTTTCAAAGTTGTGTGATTATAATTGATGAGACGATATCGAACAGCAATAAATTGTGTTCGAAACGTCATCCAGTGAATAATACTGTTTCACTGTGTGATACATGAAATCCTTGACAGTTAAACTGAGTCAGGTAGGGAGATGCAGACTTCCGGGTTGGGGCTCTCGGGACTCTAAGAATCAATGGCTGGAGACAATAGGTGACATGGCTCGAAATCGTTGTCAATGACCAGCGCAGATGTATTCAGTCTGTGTAATCTTTCATATTTCTTTCCACCATTACGCATTATGTTTCACTCTTATATATGTCAAACTCTATTGATTCTCTTCACTAATCGTCTTGTCTACCTTTGTGTGTTATTTGGAACGTGGCAACTCGAACTGGTGCACTTCGGTGACAAGTCCTATGTTGAATTCAGACAGACAGACTGTGTGATATATCTGATAAACAAACTAATATGGAATTGTGATATGATTATGAGTGGCAATAATCTGTGCTCGAAACGTGGTCATCAGTAAATATTACTGTATAAAACCAAAATCAAATTTTATCCGTAATAGATTCTCTAACTGTTGCTGCTTTGAGCTACTTAACGAGTTGTAGAGTACACTTGGCTGCGCGGTCCTCTATGTGATAAGAATCAATTATTGGAAAGTGTCGGTGGTATGGTTGGAAATCTTTCGCAATTGTGTACGAGTTTATTCTTGTCTTTAAAACAAGCAACAGAGGGGTTAATAAAGCAGGATTGGATGAATTCGTCAAATTTCGGCAGGGCTCTTCAACTGAATATTTTACATACAGGGATATATATATATATATATATATATATATATATATATACTGTTGGAAAAACATTGGGAGATATAAAACTGATGAGCAAATAAACTACACTGAATTAATCATGCAAAATGACATTCTGGAACATATGCATACTTACTAAGGCGTTCAACAATCGTTAGATTTCTTGACTTAAAGGCGGCATTCGATTTCGTGAAAGGAATGCCGAGAAAATACGTCGCATTGATCAAGGCACTCTACTCGAACTCATGCGGTCAACTAGGTGAGAGCGTACGGAGAGTTATCATCTGAAGTGGTGACAACAAGTGGTGGGCGTCAGGGATGCCCACTGTTCCCATTTCTGTTGAATTTCATCATAGATGTATGTGCTAATGAACTTAACCCTAATTGACTTCAACGAATCAGGGATTGATTGACTGGTTATCAGGGAGCAATCTCGTTGACTTAGAATATGCAGATGATATAGTCCACCTTCCTAGAAGAAGACTCTGACAAAATAGAACAGATTCTGATGAACGCCTTGCGGAGCAGCAATCTTCGAATGTTTGGCAGACGATACTAAAGGACTGGACTACATTGACTCCTAGCTTAAAGATAGGAAGTCCAGTGGTTGATGGAGCGTGTTGACCACTTCACTTATTTGAGAAGTTTCATCCGCCAGCGCCAACGAGCCGATGAAATCGCTGATGAAATCTCAGCACGAATACAGAAGACTTGATTGACGTTTGCCAACCAACCTACGCCATCTCTAGTTTAGTAGACGTGACATCCGGGTGTCGACTGTTCAGCAGCAGTCAATTCGCTCTAACCTCCTTTGTGACTGTGAGACATGGCCCCCAGTAAAAGTGGAAAACATCAAAAGACCGGCTGGCCAGCTGCCTTTAATCATGGCTGCCTGAATTTTATCTTCCGTGTTGGGTGGTATTATAAGATGAGCAACTTTGAGGTTAGGCTCCGATCGAGTGCCAGGTAAGGAGGGGAAATCAGTCGACGAGTTTGTGAAGTTTCATCGATTAAGAGAGATAGAAAATGTGTTACGCATGACTAGCTTAGCCATCACTTGCCTTCCTCGACAAAGGGCAATGTTAGCTGATTGACGTAGGATTGATCACGTTGTAGGAGAGCTAGTTGTTGTCAAACCAAAACATGGCTTCATCAGTCAATGAAATAAATCCACAGTTAGTTTAAGCCAGCCAGCCGAGTAGGGAGGTGTAGACTTCCTGACTGGCTTGTTGGGGTCCTTGGGATGGTAATAACCAATGACAGCGACTGGAGACAACTGGTGACATATTGAATTGAATTTTTGATTTTCCCGTCGATTGATTGAACCGAAGTGCTCGGTCTCAGGTTGACATGTCGGCTTCTTGTGCAGATGCTTCGACGATGTCTGGGAATTTTAGTTAGTATTCAATTGGTGGATGGTGACTAGCAGTGGAATCCAGGATAATGCGCATTTCGTCCTATTTGGGACTCGTCATCTGGATGTACCTGCATTTTTCAGTGAGTGATGATGTTCCTACCGAGGTTCGAACCCAGTACTGACTGTGTCCTAGTGGATAACGCTTTGGCGTTTGAAACTATGGGTACTGGGTTCGAGCCTCGGTGGGAACGTCATCACTCACTGAGAAATGCAGGCACATCCAGCTGACGAGTCCCAAATAGGACGAAATGCGCATCCTGGATTCCACTGCTAGTCACCATCCACCAATTGAATACTAATTGGTGATATAGCTGAAAATCCTCGTCCTTATTTACAGCGAAGATAAATTCACTCTTTTTTGTGATTTGTCAGTCATATCCAATGAAACTATATTGTTCTTTCATATTACTGTTCTTTTTACCTCACACTTGCGTTTATAATCTCTCTCTTTTGAATTTCTGTTTCCGATCTTCCCTTGGCTTGTGTGCTACACGGAGGGTGTGTGGCAACTCGAACTGCCGCATATCTCTGCAAAGTTCTATGTTGGAACCAGTCAGTCAGTTAAAATACAGAATTCGAAGATATTGGAAGCACGCGTAAAATGACAAACTAATTTAATTAAAAACATACTTTATCATAGTTTATTTCTTTCTGATATTTGTACTGGTCGATGTTGACTTAGAATATGCAGACGATGTAGTCCTTCTAGGCGAAGACGCTAACAAAATGCAGAGTCTTCTGAACACCTTGAGCTGCAATCTACGAATGTTTGGCATGCGATTCGCTCCCGCCAAATGCAAGATGATGTTACAGGACTGGACTACACCGACTCCTAGTTTATAAATAAGGAGTGAAGTGGCAGAGCACGTTGACCGCTTCACTTATTTGGGAAGTACCATCAGCCAGTGCCAATGGGTTGATCTCTGACGAAATCTCACCACGGATACAGGTACTAGTTTCGTATGTGCCAGTTTACGCCGTCTCTGGTGTAGACGTGATATCTGATAATTGACCAGAGGGTGGGTGTAAGGCTCATCAGTCTGCTCAGTCCTACTTTATGGCTGTGAGCGAGACCTGGCCATTGAGAGTGGAAGACATGAAAAGCCTAGCTAGTTGTCTTTGATCATAGGTGCCTGCGTTCTATTTCCCGTGTGAGGTAGTATAATAAGGTGAGCAATATTGAGGTTAGGCGTCGAGTGTTAGGTGGATTGGAGGGGAAATCAGTCGACGAGGCTGTGATATTACATCGACTGAGATGGTTAGGACATGTGTTACGTATGCCTAGTCATCGCCTTCCTCGACAGTGGGTAATGTTGGCTGACATAGGATGGATCAGGTTGGAAAAGAGCTAGTGGTGGTCAAACCAAAACATGTCACCAGTCATGAAATCTACAACAGTTAGTCTCAGCCACGTAGGAAGGTGTAGACTCCGTGGTTGGGGTCCTCAGGACGGCAAACACCGATGGTTGGAAACAACTGGTGACATGGCTCAAAATCGTTCTCAATGGCTAGCGCAGATGCATCCACTCCTTGTGACTTATGATTTCCAACGAAACTATATTGTTCTTCGTTATTACTATTCTTTTGTCTCACACCTCTGTTTACTGTCCCTAGTTTACATTTCTTCTACTTTCTTCCCTTGCTTTGTATGGTACAAGGAGGGAGTGTGGCGACTCAAACTGTCGCACATCGGTGCAAAGTTCTATGTCGAAAACAGACAGACTGGTCGATGTGATATAAAATGATAACCAAAAGAGCTTCACGACTGAAAATAACCCACTCAGGTTACACACTCACACACAAAACAATCCTAAAAGCGTAAATCGAAATGAAAGTTTGCCGTTAACAAATTCACTTACTGAGGTGTCGTCCACGAAGATGAACAGTAACGTCGTAAGCGCGGATTTAAAACAGGGTAACGTTCCTTAGAAGAAGAAAAAAACAAACAAGCAAACAAATACATGCTGAATAATCGTCAAAACTTTTAAGAATTTAATACTAGAGTCAAACATATGATAAAAAATGAAGTGACTATTCTTACTCTTGTGATTCAGATGCACATATACATGATGACAGTATTGCATTGAATATCCTTGTGGATAAAAAAAATTTGAACGATTTAATTGAATTTTTGGTTTTCCCGTCGATTCATTTGATTGGACCGAAGTGCTCGATCTACTCAGGTTGACATGTCGGCTTCTTGTGCAGATGCTTCGACAATGTCTGGGCATTTAATTAGAATCTAAGTGGTGGATGATGACAATGTGCGTCGGTGGCACAGTGGTTAGGACTCTCACCGACCATGCACATGGTCCGGGGTTCGAGCCCACGCCGACGCACACCTGATATCTATTGGTCGGCCTGCGAAATTTGGGCTACCGATATCCATGCTCAAAATTCCATACCTGTACCAAAAATACGGTGTGGAATCAAGCTGTAATCAAAAATTAAGAAAATAAAATAAAAATAGCAGTGGAATCCAGGATAAGGCGTATTTCGTCCTATTTGCGACTCGTCATCTGGATGCACCTGCATTTCTCAATGAGTGATGATGCTCCCATCAAGGCTCGAACCCAGTGCCCAGACATCGTCGAAGTATCTGCACAAGAAACCCACATGTCAACCTGAGTAGACTGAGCACTTCGGTCTAATCAATCGACAGGAAAACCAAAAATTCAATTAAATTACTATGACCCGTTGCACAAGAGGTGGCTGTCGTTGCCCAAGTGGTCTAGTGGATAACTCTTTGGCGTTTGAAACTATGGGCACTGGGTTGAGCCTCAGTGGGAACATCATCACTCATTGAGAAATGCAAGTACATCCAGGTGGCGAGTCCAAAATAGGGAAGAAATACGCCTTATCCTGGATTCCACTGCTAGTCACCATCCACCAGTTGAACGATTCGTTTTAAAATATGAATTTTATATATTTCAAACAATCAGAATTCCAAGAAATGATGAATGACCATGGTTTTCAATCAAGTGTGTTACGCACTGAACAGCAGACAGATGCCCCTTCCAATTCTTGATGACCGTGAAGACAGCATGTCACATTTACCTTAAGAGATGAAGCAACTCTCCCTTGAAATTTCCCCCTACTGACTGACTGGCAGACAAGTTTCAACATGCAAATCTGCACAGATGAAGTGAAGCTGTTTGAGTTGCCACTCTCCCTCCACGTAGCACACAAAGCAAGAGAAGAGAGTAAAGAGAAATTCGAAAGACAAGTAATAAGTAGGAGTGTGACGGTAAAAGAATAGTAATATGGAAGAAGAATAGAGTCTCACTGAATATGACAGACAAATCACAAATAGGATTGAATGCATCTGAGCTGTCATTGAGAACGAGGATTTTCAGTTATATCACCAATTGTCTCCAGTGACTGTCATTGATTATTACCATCCCAAGGACCCCAACCAGCCAGTCAGGAAGTCTACACCTCCCTACTCGGCTGGCTGGCTTAAACTAACTGTTATGGATTTATTTCATTGACTGATGAAGCCATGTTTTGGTTTGACAACAACTAGCTCTCCTACAACGTGATCAATCCTACGTCAATCAGCTAACACTGACCATTGAGGAAGGTGATGGCTAGGCTAGGCATGCGTTACACATGACCTAACCACCTCTTTCAGTCCGCGTAACTTCATAACCTCGTCAACTAATTTCCCCCTTTCTTTACCTAGTGCTCAGTCGAAGCCTAACCCCAATATTACTCACCCTATCATACCACCGCTCACCACCTAATATACACGGAAGATAGAACGCAGACAAACACCCATGATCAAAGACAACTAGCTAGCCAGTCTTAGTATCCTATACTTTCACTGGGGGCCATGTCTCACAGCCAATCATAAAAGAGAACGTAGTGAACTGCTGTCGAACAGTACCCACATCCTTAGTCAATAGCCTGCCGGACATCACGTATACTAAAGCAGAGATAGCGTAGGCTGGTTGCTAAATGCTAAACGAGCCTCCTATATCTGTGCTGAAATTTCGTCAGCGAACATCTCATCGGCGCTGGGTGTGATGCAACTTCTCAAATAAGTGAAATGGTCACTTTTTAATATGTGTAACAAGTTGATTTGTAATCTGAAATTCGTTAATCCTATTCCACATGAGCTATTAATTGTAAACCTAGAGGTTAAGAATTTCTAGATATACAGAAAAATCTTCGCGTAAGATTGTTAGATTGTAGATATACAGTAAGTTACCTTCAAGCAAGAGAAATGGCATGAATTAAAGTTTTTTCTATAGTTTGGTTTGTAAGGGTTAGTTATGTTTTCACGAGTTGATCACGGATTGATATCGGTTTGAGAACCATTGGAAACCAGCCAGGGGGTACTGAACAGCTGTTTCATCAGCCTAGTTTGGAAATCATCGGCAGTACGCACCCACCATCAGAGTTCGAACCCAGGACCTTCCGGTTACAAGACAAGCTAGCTCGCATACCGTTCAGCCACTGGGACCCGATTCAATGGCCAGTCCATGAATTCTTACTTCTACAAATTCGTGATTTAGCGCAACCCCAACTATTGTCGTAGGTGGGATATCCATCCTCACACGTGACATCTGGATGGACCACACTGGTGACGACTTCTCATTAGAACTCCAAGAAACTCCATGCTGTAGCAAGTCACTAGCGAGCATCAGATTACTTTTCTATAGTTTGATTTGTAAGGGTCTGTCTGTCTGGATTCAACATAGAACTTGTCACCGAAGTGCACCAGTTTGAGTTGTCACGTTCCGAATAGCACACAAAGGTAGACAAGAAGATGAGTGAAGAGAATCAATAGAGTTTGACAGGTATAAGAGCGAAACAGAATGGGTAATGGTAGAAAGAAATGTGAAAGATTACAGAGACTGAATACATCTGCGCCATGGACAACGATTTTGAGTCATGTCATCTATTGTCTCCAGCCATTGATTCTTAGAGTCCCGAGAGCCCCAACCCGGAAGTCTGCATCTCCCTACCTGACTCAGTTTAACTGTCAAGGATTTCATGGATTGATGAGGCCATGTTTTCGTTTGGCCACCACTTACTCTTTCCCAACCTGCACCTATCTATATCAGCTAGTAATGCCCGTCGTCGGGGGAGGCGATGGTTAGGCATGCGCACCACGTGACCTAGCCATCTCAATCTATGTAACTTTATAGCCTCGTCGATTGATTTTCCCTGTTTGCCCAACACTCTACGCCTAACGTCAACATTAGTTATGTCAAAATAAAGAAATTTTTAGAATTTCGCAATTCACAGAACTACCACAATGTTTAGTGATTACAGTAAAATAATGTCTAAACCAACTAATTTCTCTTCCATATTTTATTATGATATTACTGAGTGTAAAAATAATACGGGTAGCAGTAGATGATGTTAATGGAAAGATTGCACTTCTAGGGACCAATTCCTATAGTAAGAATCCCCAGGACGTCAGTTGAACAAGCTTTACTCAGGCTGAGAATTCCAGAGTGTTTACTGGATGGAGGATTTCATTATGAGCTGACATCAGTTAGAGAACCACTGGAAAACTTGGGAGTACTGTTTTGGTCCTAGTTTGGGACTCTTCATCAGCACGCCCCCACCCCTTTGGGGTTCGAGCCCGGGACCTTGTGCCAATTCACGACATAGCGCGACCATTTCGCAGTCTTCTTCGATGAACTACTGCCTCATCTTCAACTTGCTGGTGAAATCCTCCATCCAATCACACAAAATCCCTACAAAACCAATGCTTGAAAATTCCAAAGTGTATCAACATCATGGAGTGGAATAACGTCTCACTAATACTATTATTAGTAGCTGTTGTATTACTACTCTTACTACTGCTGTGGTGAGAGCTGTCTGCAAGCCAAAATTGCAGACAATTTACGTGCCGAATCGGGGTCATGAGAATGAAGCAATAACAAAGCTTAACCTTGAGGAACTCAACAACCAATCACTGTAGACTTAACGTGTGCAAATGCGATTCGCAGATATATGGCTTAACTTTCTGAGAAACGGGGTCACAAGCAGTACAGAATAACCTTCAGCAAGAAAACAACCAATCAGAAGATGTTGCTTCTCCGCCGACAACAATGTAGATTTTTTTTCCTTCACGTTCCCAGTGGAACATAGGGCTCCAAGCTAGTGGCTTGAAGATTCCTTAGCAGTGTTGATTTTTTACAGGATGGGGTTGCTGCTAGCCTCATGCCCAACCTTTCCTCCTTACCAGTCTTACTACTGGCTTAGCGAGGTAAAGGTGTGCGCCGGCCGGGGCTCGAACCCCGGACCATGTGCATGGTTGGCGAGCGTCTTAACCGCTGTGCCACCGACGCTTATATCTTCAAATTTTCTCAATAAATGATCTGTTGCCTGGTCCTTGTCTTCTGTCGTTACACTACGACCACTATAATTTCTACAATTTCTATTAGCTACAGTATGAGCATCCTTATTATTACGACAATCAATGATAATACAAACAGTTATAATTAGAAGACAGCATATGTCTTTTCCATTTCAGCTGCCTCCCATTTTTTACTTTTTTGTTATGCACTGTTTCCCTGCCAAATGGAACACAGCTTTAACATTGCTGCCATATTTCCTCCCGCATATTTGCTGGGGGATAGATTTAAGTATCCCTAGCCATCACCTTCCTCGACAACAGGCAGTGTTAGCTGACATAGTCTGGGTCAGGTTGGATAAGAGCTAGTGGTGGTCAAACCAAAACATGACATCATCAGTCAATGAAATCCACAACAGTTAGTTTAAGCCATCGACATAGAGAGGTGTAGACCTCCTGGTTGGGGTCCTTGGGACGGTAAGCACCAATGAAGTCGGGAGATAATCGGTGATATGGCTAGCTCAAAATCATTGTCAGTGGCGCAGATGAATCCACTCCTTGTGACTTATCATATCTATAAAAACTCTATTGTTCTTCCATAGTACTATTTTTTTTGCCTCACATTTCTGTTTACTCTCTTTTCTTGCTTTGTTTGCAACATGGAGTGTGGCGACTAGAACTGCTGCACATCGGTGCGATCTTCCATACTTGTACCAAAAATACAGTGTGGAATCAAGCTGTTATCAAAAATAAAATAAATAAAAATAAATAAAACAGACAGACACATAGAGAGAGGGATAGTTTGTTGACCGGTCCACTAACTGCAAGAGTTCCTTGTTGTTAATAATCCTTTCTCACCAGTCATCTGATCTTCACTTTGGAACAAAGGCGTTGGAGACAGATGAGTTTTGTAACGCGCAAAATTTCTGAACTCCATATAGAAGAAGCGACTTGGCAGTAGTTTTGAAAATCCGAACCTTGTTCTCTTTGTTGAGTGGGATAGATTACCACACTAATTTCAGGGTAATCGAGGTCTGTCTTGCCTATCTGATCATGGCTTCAACATCCTCATCTGTACTGTGTCTGTAGTGAAATTGAAAGGCTACTGTTGAAACAAGTGAAATAGACGACTTCCGTGAATTTTATTCAGTTGATATTGACTAGTGTTGTCGTTTGTTGGGCATCTCTGTCAATTCTACCATTTTTATTTTCATCAAGTGAACTCCTGTCTACACTGTCTCTTCTATCAACTTGTCATCGTCTATGTACCTCAAGAAAAATATTAAGTCGCATCATCCTCGACAGACTTGAAGATGCTCTCAATCCGAAACTTTCCGTGGAACAAGCTCAATTAAGGAGAAAAAAAAATCACCATATGCCAACAAAACCGCAATAATACAACACACCAACATCCACTAAAGCCGCAGAGAATGCCAATCAAGCCTCTATACTACCTCAAATTCATCCGCCTCGTAAGCGTCTACGATAAATTTAACGGCGAAGATATTTGCAATCCACTTCAACACTACACCATGCAGTTTTGAAAAAATGTTCACATATCTCATTCAACAACAGCTATAGGGCTATGATACATCCCAAGTGATTCACAACAGCAACCTCAGGCAACCCCTTCACAGTGAAGACAGATATAAGTAAGACAAGGCTGTCTAATATCACCAATTAGATTCCTCATTATCGTCGACTCGACCAAGCGGCCGAACAACGTGAGGAGAAGGGAGTGGGACGATGGGCATATGTCTTACTGACAACAAAAACACTCAACGAAATTTCCACTCCGTGGACTATTCATGTCTGTCTAAGATTTACAAACGAAATTCAACAACAAGTTGTTGACAAAAAAAGACAGGGAAGACATGAGTACACATAATGAAAATGGAGAGGAGACAGAATTGATAAAGTATATCCAACAAACAACCACACCAAACACCGATCATCACTAGCTACTGAAGAAATCTTAAGGAAGTCGTCTATTTCACTTGTGTGAACAGTATCCTTTCGACTACAGGCGGCAGGCGTCGAGCCAAGTGGAGATGGCAAAACACCCAGTCCAATAGAGATGTGTTAGCGAGGCTCTATGTTCCATGTCGAAGCCAAAGGAGTAAACAATGACGATAACAATTACAAAATTATTGTTATGTTATCTATATGACACACAGACTCTAAAACCATGTCAGAAACATCCTTAGACGTACTGAACACATTGTGATAGCAAACAGTTACATGAAATAAAGAATAGAAAAAAGTAATGCCTACCAGTAGAATCATATAATTTCTCTTCCGGGCAAATTTATTCCACTCTTGATCTTCCTTCTCTTGAACGGCCAAATGACGATAACTATCGATTAATTCAGAGATCTAAAAGTGAAACAGACAGGCTACTATTAGATGTAAAAGTGGGCTTACATTAGTTATTATTATTATTATTACTTTGACAGTTCAAAAAGAAAAAAAAAGAAAGTTACTTCGATCAAAACACACTATTACCAAATAGTATTTAATTGGTGGATGGTGACTAGCAGAGGAATCCAGGATGCGCATTCCATCCTATTTGGGACTCGTCATCTGGATGTACCTGCATTTTTCAGTGAGTGATGATGTTCCCACAGAGGCTCGAACCCGGGAAAATCAAAAATTCAATTAAATATTAACAAGTAGTACTTGGTGAAAAATATATTCGTGTTATTCATTATAATAAAGGTCTTTTTGTATTTCCCAATGAATGAAAAAGAGCAAAACGATATTGTTGTTGTGTTTTACTGACGTTTCGCTATTTAATGCTCCGTTAGTAGCTTTATCAAAGTATTATTATTCAACCAGGATTTACAAAATCCACTCAGCTTATATCTCACAACTTAATCACCGTTCCTCAGCATGGAGTCATTTCTGCGTTGTCAAAGTGGCCAATTAGTAAAGATAACAAAACCAACATGTGTAGATTTGTTGGATTTGATAAGTGTATAAAATTATACAAGTGCTTATAACATTCATGTTGATATAGTCATTTCATTTGGGAGGGGAGTGTTGTAACTAGGTCATATTCTGTTTTAGTCCATCATTCTTATTCAATTTAGACAATTTGGATTCCATTCGATGATATAAAGTGTGCTTCTGATGATGTGAGACGTTCTTTGTTATTTCTGGAATTTTTCTGAATGATGATTTCAATACTGTCAAAATCAATTTTGTGGCCTGATACTATAGCGTGTAAACGACCTATGGCTGGTTGATGATTTTTCAAGCTTTCCTAGTTCACTAACTGAGTTTCTCCGTGGTTGAAGAGAGGTGGCTCTGCGGCGTTCATTTCTTCTGATTACCTTGATTTCTCGCGATGACTGTCCGATGTATATTGCATCACACTCCAAGCATTTTATTTTATAGACACAATTAGATAGAGAATCTTTAAGGATTTGGTCGTTTATATGGACCAGGTTGCTTTGTAGTGTGAGTGTCTGATGTTTTGAAGAAAACTTTGATGTGCTTACGGAGTACTCTTCTGATATCTTTGCTCTATATGGAATGATGACTGTTGAGGTTCATGTTTTTGGAATGCGTTTTCGGCCATACTTAATGTCAGTGTTGATTATGCTGATGAAGTTCCTTGGGTAGTTGTTTTACTTGAGAGTTTCAGTAATGTTTGATATTTCTTCTTTTTTTTTCTTTCTCATCCGTTATCAGACAGTGTGCTCGTCTAAGAAGACTTGAAACAACTGATACCTTTGCACTGGTGATAGGGTGTGATAAACCGAAGTCTAAATATTTATTGGAGTGGGTTTTCTTCCTAAATATAGATATACTAAAATATCTGTTTACCCTCCTCTTAACTAGGCAGGCAGTCTAGAAATGGTAGTTCACCGATGTCTGATTCTGCTTCTGAAGTAAACTGGATGCACTGGGAGATACACAGTTTATTTTCCCTAAGAATGAAGTGTGTAGATCTCGTTTTAGCACTACAAAAGTATCATCTATATATCTTAACCATATTTTAGGAGTGAGTATTGCTTGAAAAGATGTTATCTTCGAATTTTTTCTAACTGTTAAAAGTGAACTTGGTTTGGACATATATATATATACAAATTCCTTCACTTTCCCAGTGGAACATAGGGCTTCAAGCTAGAGGCCTGAAGTTTCTGTAGCAGTGGTGTTTGTTTGTTTTTACGGAATGAGGTTGCTAGCCGCCTTATGCCCAACCTCCCCTCTTTCCCAGTCCTATTGTTGGCTTGGCGAGGTAGATAAAGGAGTGCATCCAGTGGCCGGTGATCGAACCCAAGACCACCTGTGGCGTGATTGGCGAGCATTCTACCGATGTGACACCGACGCACTATATATATATATATAAGTATATTATTGAGAAGAAGAAAAAAGCGCCAACAAATGGAGTGTGAAAAACTATACACACACACACACACAAGAACACGAGATATCAGTGTGCATAAGGCGTGTACATACATCGACAAAATATAAGAACCATTCACAAGACGACCAGTCAATAAGAAGAAAACCAACAGATAAAGAGGTGAGAATAAACATCAATAGAAAAAAAAAACAACTTAAGAGAATGAGTTACTTCATTGTGCATACGCCTACCGTGTCAAAATAAAATATTGATCCAGTATAAACAAGACCATTCTTTTTTATTAGAGCGTAAGCCATACATATACCACTTGTAGTGTGAATATTACAAATGGTTGAAATTGTGTACACATAGAAAAAAGCAATAATCATTCAACTTTTGAGAACACCTATTTCGTATATTGATTGAAAGTGAGGTTTTACACGGGGAAAATTTTGCATTCTATAGATCCTTTTTTCATAACTACGATCGATACGGTTATTAAATCGATAAGTGTACACAAATTCAAATATCTTTGGATTTAATTGCAAGAAATAAAATGTTATTACATACAAAATATTGCCGAAATTTAGAAAATAATAAACCGACATTCTTCCCTAAATTTTGATGCAAACCTGAATTCTCCAGGATTATACATAACCCAAGTTCCAAGGACTTTAAAGATCTCATTTCTGATTATGATTTTGTTCTTATTCCTTTGCATTCCTAGTGGGATAAAGGGTTCAAGCTAGAGCTTTGAAGTTTCAGTAGTAGTGGTATTTTTATGGAGTGGGGTTGCTAGACTCTCGCCCAACCTCCCATCTCTGACGGGATTACAACCGGCTAAAGGAGGGACGGGAACAGGCGTCGGTGGCACGGCGGTTAGGACGCTCGCCGACCATGCACATGGTCCGGGGTTCGATTCCCGGCTGACGCACACCTTTACCTCGCTAGGCCAGAAATAACGCTGGTAAAGAGGAAAGGTTGGGCATGAGGCTAGCAACCCCATCCTGTAAAATACACTGCTACAGAAACTTCAAGCCACTAGCTTGAAGCCCTATGTTCCACTGGGAACGTGAAGGAAAAATTATTATTTTAAAGGAGAGACGGGACTTGAACCCCAGACCACGTGCATGGTCGACCAGCACTCTACTACTGAACCACTGACGCACCCCAGACCAGGATGCAAACCATTTTTATATTTGATCCTCCCTTGATTATCACCACCTTAAACTAAGACTATCTCCTCAGATAGCTTAGGCGTTGAACAATCAGTCTAATTCTATCAGTCAAGCTTGCAATGTGGCCACCATGCTAGGTGGCCATGCTAGAATTCAGTCTGCACCGGAGATAGGACTAGACACATTACACTAGTTACTGACTAGTATGCAATCGAAAATATCCATTACAGTCCTACAGGAGGTCAGTCGCGAGCCTCAATAGCTCAGTGGTAACGTCTCTGACTGCAGGCGGGACTGGGTAACGCGGATTCGAATCTCAAGAAAGGACATGAGTTCCTTTAAGGTTGCAGATATGCCTTGCTAATGAGTGCCAACTAGCACGAAACCTAGATCCGAGGCTTCCTGCCGAATGCCAACATTTCACAGTGCACCGTAATGGCAAGCCACCTAGCATGGTGGCCACATCGCAAGCTTGAGTGATAGAATTCAGTCTGCACCGAAGATAGGACTAGACTGGCTAGTGTCCAATCGAAAATACTGAGTGTAGTTTAGCTATGAACAGATTGAAAGTCAAAGCAAACGTTAAAGAGTTAAACTCACCCGCTTAAAATGTGGACTTGTTTTCTCTTGCCATCCACCAGCAGCCTGTTGTTGATCTGGAATACCACTATCTCTAGTAATCCAACGACAAAAACCACAGGCTAAAAAATAGGCCTTCTGTGCTGTAGTTCTACCCGGTTCATCGGGTTTAGCTTGGACCACTGCAGTAGCACGTGTACACAACGTATGCCCACAGCTAGGACAATCAAAACAATTACCACAACGATGCTTTCGCATTTTTGCCTCAGCACTTGCCATATTTTCAAGACAATTTGGACAGTAATAAGAATCCACCTGTAGGACAAATAGAGAATGCATAAAAATGCCCATTAAAATTTACAAAAAAATGGATACTGAACAAAGAATACTCTTTTCGATAACCTGATCTTCTTTATCAGGTCCTACAGATATATATACATCATACTGAATGAATGAATCAGGGTTATGAACAACATTAATGTGTAAACAACATCGAATCAATATCAATAGGTCACAGTTCAACAGCATCAACATAACAGTAAACTGAACGTCAGAAAAATTAGGAAAAATAATATTACATATTCATGAATTTTTAGTCTCTACTGAGAGCCAGCCAGGGCAGTAGTAGTGGCTACCTGAACTTGTTTCTTTTGCACACAGAGCACTGGTTGTTTGAGGCGAATTGCGATAGCCTCTGCTGTTTGGAGCATGCGGTGCTTCGATGTTTTTGGCAATTTATTAGGCACCCGGTAAATGATAGAGAAGGATTCTTCCACGCTGGCTTTGTGGCCGACCGGTTTGTGCCAGATGGTCCAATATCGAACTGTTAATGGTTTCCACTACACCTTTACTTAGCCATACTAGGAGATGTACTCGAGATAGCACGAAAAATCAAGTTCCTAGAACAACGGCCAATATAACTCGCTCCACAAGCGCAGTTAAATCGGTAGATACAATTAGAAGTGGCTGCCTAATCTAGGTACTCCATCTTTCAATCGAGGAATCACCATCGGTCGTGCAGAGAATAAGACGTGTAGTTCGCCAGCATTAAAAGTTCCTTGAACTGATTTTCTTAATTTCTTCGTAATTATTTCGCTTGTTATATCGCCCTTGAATTGCAGTCGTATATAAAGAGGCCCGCACCGAAGCATTGTATATTCGACTTTTGACAGCCAGGCTAACGTCGCGACAGCGCCAGAGGTGGCTCAAGTTGATGTATGCCACCCTAGCCTTCATTATACGGTTGGAAATCCCATGCGTCACCCTTCCGCCAGCACTCACACAACTACCCAGATACACAAACTTGCCAACAACTTAAAGCGGTCCACCTGCAAGAATGAGTACAGGTACAGGCTTCTGCCAATCTTATAACAGTACTTTGCATTCAGACGATGCAAAGCACATACCATACTTACAGACACTGATCGCCAACTGATTAGATGTTATTTTGGCATCTCGCATGCTATCGTACAGTAAGAATAATGTACTCCCACCTTATGAAATTGCAAGCCCTTACCTCTGCTGTGTCACTGACTATTGGGCAGCCCTTTTTCTTTAGAAATCACTTCAGTGATTGCATGGATTATACCTCACATACAACTATTACTCAACAATAGACTACTAAGCACTTTTTTCGGCAAGTATAGACACGATAAAGAAAATTTCCTTCACTGAACTGTCTTTGATTTCCCTTACTACTGCCAAGAGATTTTGAATACATGAATCAAAGTAAACTGTAAAAACCCACCTCATGTGAAACACAATCAGGACATCGAAGAGTTAAACAATGTCGGCAGAAATATAACGTGCATAATGGACTCGTTCTCTTACAAGAACACAATAATTTGCACTTATCCAAATCCAAATAAGTTGCCATTGATCAGAAGGTTAAGTCAAACGACTCAAATTTCAGGATACATTAGAAAATTGAGAATGTCGATCCGATTGTCTGCAAAAAGAACAATAAAAGCTCTGATTAACCGTTTGAAATTTGTATATGAAGTATTAGCAATATTAGTTAACTGGCCGCTATACAACTATCAGCTTAGAACCTGAAGTCTTCTTATATAAAACTCACAAAAAAACCACTGGAAAACGTCTTAGGCATCTTAATTCTTTATCATTATGACTATTAATGGTTCCAACGAGCTCACGGCAACAAGGGTACCCAACGTATTATTATTGTTTCCTTTAATTCCTAGAGGAGCATATGGCTTCAGCCACCACGTCTCCATTGCGTTCAGTTCTCTACCAACGTTTCCATCTGGCTCCACGTCTACCCACATGCTTTTATGTCCTCTTCACATGACCTCCTCCATGTCACCCTTGCACTGACGACCAACTCGCTTCAATTTCGGGTTCCACTCGAGGGCTTATTCAGTAACGTCACTTGATGGTTTCCTCAGACTATGGCCAATCCATCTCCATTTCTTCCTGACTATTTGTTTCACAACCGGTTCCTGGTTGGTTCGCTCATTGTCACAGATCCCTGTTGATGATCTTTTCTGGCCAGCCATCTGATCTTGAGTATTGAGCGAAGACAACTGTTAATGAAGGTCTGAAGTTTGTTTCAGATGCTCTTTATGACTCGCCAAGTCTCTGATTCGTATGGTAGCAGTAACTTCACATTGGAGTTGAAAATCCGGATCTTATTTTTGACGCTGAGTGTGCTGTTGACCTCCACACAGTCTTGAGAGTAATGAAAGCTTGTCTTGCTTTTTCGATTCTAGCTTTGATATCCTCGTCAGTTCCGCCTGTAGTTGAAACGATAATTCCCAGGTAGGTGGTTGAGTAGGTGACAGAGGTTGTTTCTTTCAGGTTCCTCCCATTTATGCTGATTGTTGTCTGTTGTTATTACTGTTGGTGTTGGCCAGGAATCTTCATCATCTCTGTTTTCTCTATGTTCGCCTGAAGAAAGTCCTATCTTCGATGCTTCTTCTGTCGCAAACTTGTTGCTTTTTATTTGCATATCCTCCAGTTTGTGGGAAATCAGACATATACCATCGGCGAAGTCGGGATCCTCCAAGCTTTTTGTGTGGGTACCCGATGTACAACAAACTCAAGTGCGCTTTTACATATTTCTAAACTCAGAACTGTAAAAACAAGCGTTAAAGACTCCATAGTGTGCCAGTGATTAAATTTCATTTCAGCACTTTTAGAAACCTACACCAAGTGATGTTAAAAACAAATAACAAACTAACATATAAGTTCTAAGCAATTTTATAGCTTTTTTTCCGTTATAATCTACTAAAACAGGATATGCCTACCAGTGAAACTTTTCAACAAAGATTCAGATTAGATGAACACGTCCTTATGCAATGCTGAGGTATTTTACTGGGATATAAGGACTAAATGACAGATTCAGAAGACTACTGGATAAAAATGAAAGTAACTTTGACTCCAACTGCGTTTACGGACAAGACATAGTTGTGCCCAGTCATTGCATATTTCAAAATACATACACAATGTAAAGTTTTAAAAGTTAAAAGACCATATTCACTACGACCCTAGCAGTAGTAGTTCAAACATAAGGGATGTTACTTCATTCACACACCTGAAGCTACCTAGCAAGGACACAACTATAATTTGTGCAAAGAAAGAACTATTGTCTAGTAGGAGAACTTCTTCATGAAAACAGTTAAAGTAGGGCAAAACATGGAATGCATTCCATCCAAACTATGGGGAATTTCTACAAATGACACCAGGAACTTAGGGAAAAGTGCGTAAAAAGAAGGATTACTAATTCGTTGATACCATGCCGAGAAAAGGGTGAAAGCGTGGGGAAACATTAGGGAAATTGGACTATTTCGTGTTACAATTTCCCACATATATTTTGCCCACGTCTCATTCAATCATAATTGCTCACTACCCCACCTTCCTCATGTGCTCTCTTGAGTCACATTGCAATTATTCTGGTTCGAAGAAAAACACACCTGTGGTAAATATCACTTTTCAGTTAAAATTAAACGTTAATACCTCAAACCAACCGAAAATGAGGAAAATATGGTACCACGTAGTGCTTCTCGGTACCGAATGGTATCGGTTTACACAAACATTTTCCCAAAACTGTGTAGGTTTCCAGATAATTACTATGTATTCTGCAGTCGAATCAGCTACACGCATAATGTGCAATTCAACAGCATTTACACTGTTCCTATTCCATTCGCATTCGAGAGTACATGTCACTATATATGTTATCTCTTTGTCCTTCTACACATATATCCTCATCAAATAACTGCCAGTGAATAAAATTTAAAAATAGCGAGAGTGAAGAGCCTAAGACACTAAAATTATACCATACAAGGTGTGTCCCCACAAGAAATTACTACGTAGTAAGCATACAATCGCATGCTTATTTTGTCTTTAAAGACATTAAAACACTTTCGAAACTCACACTTATACTTTATGATTTAAATATAACTGGATTTTTCCCTTGTATTGTAGATATGTTCCGTGTCGGTGCAGTGGACCATGTATTAACCGATGTAAACCGCACTTTTAATCTACCCGCCTAAAATCTGTACCTCTTGCCATCAAAGGAACGACTCACTTTCGCATTCCGTGTTCTTCTTCTTGCTCTCAAATGTGTTCGTATCGGTTGTTTGCTTAGGGTTTGCTGTCGTCTCAAGAATGCTGTTTTCGATCAAGTTAAACTTTAAGCACCACTAACTACCAATGGGGTTCGACCGCACTAATGACCTTGAAACGCTCATTGCCAAATCATGCTGTCATCACCAATAAAATATGGTCATCGAAGTATTATGCTATGACAGGTTTCACTTTAGGTTGGGTGATGATTAAGTTACGCTTTAAGCCAAGGACAAGTTACGGTTAGGTTAACCTAATAAAGGCGATATTAGGGTCGGTTCGAGTTACATTACAGTTTATTCGGGGATATTTTCACGTAAGGGTTAGGTTCAGGAAAGATAAGTGTTATTGTCAGTGTGAGAAGACCTAAATAATTACATGCCTTTAATGTGGTTAAATTGCTCTCTTGGTATAAGAATAGTACGTGCGTCGGTGGCACAGCGGTTAGGACTCTCGCCGACCATGCACATGGTCCGGGGTTCGATCCTCTGCCAACGCACACCTGATATCCATGGTCAGCCTGCATAGTTTGAGCCACCGATATCAAATGCTGAAAATTTCATACCTGTGCCAAAAATACGATGTGGAATCAAGCTGCAATAAAAAAGTACTTGTGCACTGTAGCAGAGTGGAATTCGATTGTGGGTAGCACTTTGATAGTCTCACAGAGTTATACAGTTATATTTACTGACGGAGTTTCGAGCACAATTTATTGCTCGTTAAATATTACTTATTACACTACGAGACTTTATCAGAATAAATTTTACTCCCAATACAATTATAATCTGTTGATACTCCCACCTAAAACTGAGAGCTGTTTTTATCGCATGTGAAAGGTAACACTTTTGTACAGTTTTTATGCATTTTTTCTTAAATATATGTATTTCATAAACAAAAATGCCTCATTCATGTGGTTGGTGCGTCCTAGGTAAGTCGCTGATTGGTAGTTGGTGGTACTTAAAATTTAACTTTACCTTGTTTTCCGAGTCTTAGCCGTCCCACATTTTGAATTTTTACCTATTGCAGAAAACTTCATATCAGTTTCAATGTCCCATATCTGTATTCCTTTCAGTGTATTAACATAGACCTTACAGTATCTTGCCTCGCATTCCTTGATGCTTTTACAGGATTCTAGATTCTTGTTAGCTTTGTGTACTACCTGTTCATTGCCTTCTGAGCAGTCGCCTTGTTATATCAGACTTGTCGTCATGAATGCTGTGTAGACTTCCTGTCCCATACTGGCCAGGCGAAATGCCTCCCGCAGTCTCAGTCGTTCACATACGGGGATATAAAATTAACATAAAATGATGACGGTTCAATTAAATCACTTAATTTGAACAATGCAAGAACTACATTTTAGCAGAATAAAATGGTACCATCTTTTATTTCGTTGCCTTCTCGTCAGCTGCTTACATGGCAAAGACATTATCAAATATATCTACTACAACAATTTTAACATACTTGCACAAAGTTCAGTTTAAACAAAAATCAATCGATCAATATACGCATACACTAAAAATATGTACATATATAAATATGCAATATTAACCACTATTCCGAACAACAATAATAATCAAACACAATGGAAACTTTTAGCATTTCACATTCGGAGGAAAGAGAGGTGAAATTATCCAGTTACCAGGGCAAAGAAAGGCTGATAACCGCTTCTTTCTGGACGCATAAATCAGGTTTCATGCGCTTGATGGAAATGGCTTCAGCAAACTCAAGGAGAATTGAGCTATTTTGCTTATTGATGATTTTGAACGACTTTTCGACGTCCACCTCATGACCCGTGTCGAGAAGATGCCTGGTGATGGCACTGTTTAAAGCATTTGTTCCCTTTAGACGTAAGCTTTTTGGTACATGTTCAGAAAATCACCTAAATAAACAATTGGTCATCGGAGGAAGAGCTTAAATTTATCAAGTACTGCGAATTGAGTAATAATATAATTAATAATAATGTTAAACGGGTTAATATAATGCTACCGATAGAAGTTAGTTTTATATGAATCACGAATAACAACAATAAGAGTTAGAATAAAGTACTAATAGTGATAGCAGTTGATAAGCAAACCCTATTACTATGGTAGATTCAGAGTGACTACCATTTCCTTTTGTACACACATATCTGGATTATAAACTGTAATTACACAAGACTCCTCCGCAATCGCCAAGCATATTCCTCTCTGTTCGATTGTCTACTGACAACAGTGAAAGAATTGGCCGTTGTGTCAACATTATGTCCGTAGCTCACGAGACGCATTTCTGTTGAACTTTGACTTCGGCAGTTTACAACCATCTTTGCCACTCCACCATCATGCGAGTACACAATCGCCTTTCCGTACGACCTATGTATTTGCTTCCACAAACACACTCACATTGATATACGCGGGTTGCAGTTTGAAGTGTTGATGGTTGGGGACTGGTCATTCCTTGGCTGTTGAATCAACCACTTAGTGATGTTAAGGAGGACGAGTTTTGCAGCATAATAAGTTCTCTTGATAGAGTCTTCGTCTGACTACTTCTTGTAAACCATCCCTTTTGAACGGCAAATTGATATATACAAATTTCTTTGGAACTGTTTGGATAGTCTAAATTAGGCATATTCCTTTAGAGTATTTATTGATAAACCTCTCAGTATATCGATTCTCGGATAAAATATCCTTCAGAGTCTTCATTTCATGTTTAAGTGTGCTGTCAGAACAAGATTGTCGTGTTCTGTTGGGCGGTGTTAATCAGGAATAAAATTTGATCCATCATTCACAAATCTAACAGTATTATCTAAGGGTCTGCATTGGATAGCTTGCAACAATGCTCCCTCACTACAGTTTAGCCGAATCGGTTATTATGTCTAGTTTTAACGAGAATTTGAGTTTTATGCAAGCCTGAGAAGATGCAACCAATAGTGTAATGGCAGTCAGGCAGCTTCAGAGAGAAGAGATGATGAATGTGTGAGCCAACAAGTGTAAATTTTATTTCTCCCAAATAACGTTCGTTCTCGAAAAGCTTGTTTCAAACAAGGGATTTACCCAGTGCTTTGAAAGGAAGGAATGTAGTTATTTACAGTTAACAGGTTTGAATGTTCACACTTTATTACATAATTGGTTACTCATGGGGAGTCATCAACTCACACTTTACCGCTAATCACAGCCTCTCATTGATAACTTTGAAGAAAGGTACGAACTCGCAGGTTTCCATGGAAGATGCGAATCAAAATCCAAATCCATAATAAATAAGTTTATTTTATATAGCACACAGTGACAGTATTGATAACTAGCCGCAGTTACCAGTACTGCTGTCACTATATTTCATTTTGTAATGTAAATCACTTCTGTAAATATGTTTACTTAGTTTTCCTGTCCTGAATCCTGTTTATTTGTTATTATTACCTTACTTTGTTCTGCCACATCATCAAAATCAATGACCAGATTCTACCACAACAGGAACAATAACTAGCATAGCAATTTACCAGAACTACAGTAAACAGGCAGTGGAACAGGCAACTGAGAAATCTACAGGTGGTTAAAACCATCTCCTCACCGAGAAGAGAGTTCAAGAGAGTCGGTCTCGTTTGCACCAGCTTGTAGAACGAATACTATGAAAAAATTAGAAAACCTCAAGCAATCGACTGCCAGTGGGTACGAACTTTGAAGAGGGGGCTAGTTTTAAACTCTCTTGTCAGTATTTGGCTTTCGTGTTTTAAACGCTACAAATCCTGTATATTAGTTTTATTCAATATACAATTGATGGATGCTGGCTAGCAGTGGAATCCAGGAGGCGAATTTCGTCCTATTTGGGACTCGTCAACTGGATTTACCTGCATTTCTCAGTGAGTGATGATGTTCCCAGTGAGGCTCGAACCCAGCGCCCATATTTTCAAACGCCAAAGCGTTATCTACTAGACCACTTGGGCCACGATAATTTTATTCAACTTATTTTAGTCAAAGTATGTTCCATCTATAAATTTTGAGTTTATTTACCCAAAGATGGTGTGTTGTTGTATAACATCATAGTTCTTATCAATCCGACTTCATCAAACGCATTGATTTTTACCGTTGCTTATCTAATAACTCTTCATTAGGTTGTATTCGAATTCTTTAGTCACGATTTATTTTGAAAACTGTGCCTGTAAAAAAGCCATTGCAGAAGAATTATTAGTCCATTTCCATTCGACGAAGGCATGTAGTGTAACAGCCATAGTCATTGGTTTCATAACATGTGCATCAACCTAACCCCAGAAGCATACAAACGCTAACGCGAACCCTCTGGTAGACTGGAAATGTAATGCTTACCGCAGCACAACTGAGTTCCGTACCAACGAAACCACTGCCATGCCAAATTGTGCATTAAGGCTTTTGAACTGCGAAGGTCCCCGATCACAGGAGGAGGGCAACAACTGCTTATAGACACCAGCGCCATTAACAAAACACTATGCGTACTTGACGTGTCACTGTCATGGTGCATGAGCCAAAGGGGAACGTGAACCACAGCTCAGACACCCACGCTGTCCTTATTATACCTAATAAACCCCACACTACTAGTAATGAAAAAGTGGCGGAAACCTGACATAATTTCGCCTATTGCCGGCACGAGGGAAAAGCGTAGCTAGGATCGAAAATCGCCCCTGTACTTTTAGATCAAGACTTACCCATGCAAATGGATAGTAAGCAGACAAAATCAACGGCAAATGGCGGAGAGGACGCCGGGGAACGGAGTAATCTAGTTCCTCGCAAAAAGTTGAACTGACATACCGTAAAAGCCATGCTGTCCATGAAGGACGGAAAGATGCTTTCACCGCAACGCAAGAAAGGCACCCCAGGCAAACCTGATCAAACAAGTCGCTCATTCTCCACAAAGTGGAAGGATCATTGCCTTCAAACCTTAACACCAGGTTTAAACACGACCTCGACCAAGTCAAACAAATCCTAGATAAGTTACTGCCAACAGCAGTATCAGGTTAATTATACGTAGCTTGTATAGATGACTGACTAAAGTAAATCAGCCGGCGCAACTTCTCAAAGTTCTGCCAAACTCAAAACCGGAGTGGGATGCTATACTAAGCAACTCCCAAACACTTGAAACATCAGACATATGCATCCGTGCCAACTCCTGGCTAACGGACGACGTCAAGAAACAGTCTGAGGCTCTAGATCTAGACGAACGGTACTGAAACTGTGGGGGAAACTTTAAGATTAAGGGTTTTCCCGTTGTCACAGTTCGAAGTTTGATGATTTCGAAACCTCTGTGGGTGGAGTGTGGATGCACCAAACTGAGTTAACAGTGTGCCACACAAATGCCTGCAGCCCGCTGAACAAATAGACCTAGCTGGGTGATATTGACTTACTCCGGGAACCCAGATAGAATTATCCTCACAGGGACATGGCTCAAGTCCGATATAACTGATGATAGGGTAAACCTACTAAACTTCACAGAATATAGGGGGGACTGACTGAGCCTAGTTGTGAGCGTAGTTGTCCATCTTAAGTGTTTGTACCACTGAACCTATCGCACGTGAAATTGGAGTGTGTGACATTCTGCGCCCCAGAATTAAGTGTATATGTCAAGGAACTTATCCTTAAGTTTCTATTTGTACGAAGACGATCCGAACCGATATTTACCAAAACTGATTTTCAACTTTAACTCCAAAACACCAGTGGTTGTAAGAGGGACCGAGGTTAGTACATAGTCTGTAAACAAATGTCTTATACAAAATATGGAGTGCTTTTATTCGTTTTTTTCGTCTTCTTCGAACCTGTAAACGATTGAACCATTCGTGCCTCCGAGTTGCCCACCAATGGCGATCAAGGCCAGTGAACCAATGTTCAATGTTCACTTCCATTGACAGCATAGGTCAAGATGTTGACTTCATTGCTAAACATTGCGGTCCCGACTTCAGAGAGAGACGCTAGGCGCACGGATATCCAAATGTCCGATTCTCTTTGTCAGCCACCTCAATCTACCGACAGTTGACTGGTTTAGCCCTACAACACAATCTTCAGACACTTTTTTTGAATATAAACTTTTGGAATCTCGTATTTCGGTAGCCCTAGTCCAAACAGTTACGAAGCCCACGTGCTATGGCTCACGGTACTCCCACTCAATCTTGGACTTCATGTTCTCCCGTGATAAGGATGTGGACCTCACACAGCATATTTCCCTCTTATAAAAGGGAGTGATCATGCTATGCTCACTTTTAAGTTCGCAACATAAGCATCATGGGCCAAAAACGCGACCTGACTAAACGTTTGGGAATCTGACATAAATGCCATAGTCTCAGCGGCCAAATCACTGAGCTGGCACATAAATCCGTAATCTCAAGCAGAGGCTGCGTCGGACCAGTCTAAGCAACACTACTCTCAGGTAACTTAACCGTTTTTCCCTTGGTGTTTCCCAAAGCATGAAAAACATTGTCCGCCATGGATAAACCAACAGATTCATAGACTGATCAGGCGTTCGTGTAGATGATGGATCCTGTTTATTACACTTTGGTCTTCTGAGACAAAAAAGTTATCCACCGTCATTATCAGCAAAGCTATTACAGAAATCCTACAATCAAGGATCAAGTTTGAAACTCGTCTAGCTCAAAGTGAAACGATGAAACCCATGAAAATTTCCTCGTACATGAACTTCAGGAAAAATACGATATCCAATGGGGTCCGGAACGTAACTGCTGACAACGATATAATAGAAAAAGACCAGGAAAAAGCTGTAGCAATGACAAACTAGTGTAACAACAGAAGACAAGGGCCAGGCAACAGATCGTTTTATTATGAAAATCAACACGTATTTATACATCTTTCAACTACATTATTATAGACAAGCGCAGTCATCTGATTGGTTGTTTAGGTAGACAAACGCAGGCTTCTGATTGGTTGTTTCGGGATTCCTTGACAAATAGAGTTCTCTATCTGCGAATCATATTTTGCCACGTTAACTTTGCTGTGATTGGTTGTTGACTCAGGCTTGTTCATATTTTCTCAGGGCCATATTAGTGACCTAGACCTTAACGTAGATTAGTGCCAACCAATCGGCTAGCAGCCTGCTCTCACCACACTAGTCCTCCGGAGTGTTTGCCCACGAGTTGTCACTCTCCATAGGATCAGCTCTGGCCTCATTAGAGTAATACACGATAGTTTCTGTCACTGTCAACCAAAATATAGTATCTATTTCTCCAAAGCAACTGGATACAGGGAAGTCAGCTGGTCCTGATAATTTCCATCGAGGGCTTCTCAAGAAGCTATCAGCTCGCATAGCCAACCCGCTGACAGCGATTTTCAAGCTCTCTTAAATGGAGTGTTACCGTACGACTAGAAAGACGTCATAGCGACCCCCATCCACAAAGTAGGATAAAGAAAATTCCCTTGAAATTACGGGTCTATTAGTCTAGACAGCACCCCAATTAAGATGCTGTAGAGAATTACCAGGAAGTTTATCATAGCATATCTGCAAGACAACAGCTTTTTATCCAAGGCACAGAATGGCTTCCCAGGAAGCGTATTACATCTGTAAAACCTCCTTACGGCAAGAAGAAGTTGGGTCAAGTGAGGACACGACAGAAGACCTGCTGATGCCGTCTTCACAGGCTTCAGGAAAGCCTTCTATAAATACCTCATAAAAGACTGCTCATGAAATTGCATAGTCTTGGAATTAAAGGCGGCCTACGAAAGTGGATTAAGGGATTTCTCATAGGTAGGAGACAGAGAGTCAGAATCAACTTAAAATCTCCTTCTGGACAACAGTAAGTAGCGGACTACCACAAGACAGGGTACTCTGGTCTCTTGTTTATTTTTTATATCAATTAGTTATCTGCACCCATGGATACCCAGTGGTCATATATGCAGATGACTCTAAAATTTGGGGAGAGTTGAAGGGTGACAGATATATGTTCATGTTCCAAGGAGACCTCAAATAGTTGTTAGAGTGGTCCAAAGGATGGATGCTCCTGCTCAACATAGAGAACTGTGCAGCCATACGCATTGTATATGCAGGCATTAGCCCCAACGAACTAGAGGGAATAGCACTCCCATCATTCCAGGCTGTTGCGGATCTAGGTGTCATAGAAGTTATGAACTGGAAAATTTCAGCCCACTGCAGCGCCATGGCCGCGTGTAGTTACATTTTTTGACGATTCTCAGAGGCTTTATTGGAATCACCAGAGATATGTTCACTTACTTATTAGCATCTCTGATGAGGTCAAGGCTGGAGAGCTGTATGCAGGCAGACAATCCTTGTTTTTCAGGGAACTCGCATATTCTACAAAGAGTTCAAAGGAGGGCAATACTTATTATTCCTGGCATGACTGATCGAAAATAAATAAAATAAATAAATACGAGGAAAGACCAGCATCTGTTCTGCCTATCCTACCGTAGACAGAGAGATCTCATTATGTTTAAAATCTTGAATAATGACTAAGGACTTGATCTATTCTCTTTTTTACTTCCCATCAGGTCGGATCACCTTGAAGGACATGGCAAGAGAGTTAAAAGGGCAAGAATAATATATGATGCTCTGGAGTACTGGTTCTCACACAGTCATAGAAACCTGGAGCCGAATCCTAGAAGAACTGTTGTCTGGAACCTCAATCGACTCATTCAAGAAGGATTCAGACTATTCAGAAACTCACTAGCAAAAGATTAACATAGGCTTCAAGCTTTCAATGTTTAATCAACAAATCTGAATCTGATATTTTGAGGCGGTGGCTTTAAAGTTTTGCTTCAAGGTCAGGGTGATGGTTGGGACGTTTGAGGATATACTTCCTGGTCTCTACGGATGGCTACTTATAGTTGTTTTGATGGTTTTCACATACTTCCTAACATATGTATTCGCTCAAATGAACTCATTTTTACCTTGGAGTGGTTCTAACAGGCCACCAGCTAAAAAGGTATGTGAAATTCCATCTTTTTGGTTTTATGATGATACTTTTAAATATCACAAATAGCGACTCCAAACTATAATAGCCCAGAACAAAACAACTTAGTGAACGGATTGTTCACTTTGACGAATTTATGTTCAGAAATTGGTTTAACTTGATTAAGACGACTCCTGTGAGAAATTGGTTCTTGGGTCATATACAAGATTATCTTATGTAACCAATTTTTAATATTGTATTAATTTTATGTAGACGTTTATTTCAAGTTGTGCACTTCTACTTCTGAGGCATCTGACTGGCTTCTAGAGCTGGTTTCAATTTGGTCTGTCATAGTTTGAAGTCACCGTGTTAGTTTACTCTTTTTATGGGATCATAGTGGTGAAAACAGTAAAAGCGGCAGGAAACAGTTGTTGATGGCTTTATTTCGTTACATTTTCTCGTTTTAAACGTCCCCTCATATTGTTAATTCTTTCAAATCAAAGTGACAAACCGACACGTTCACTATTATATAGCATGTAACATGCAAATATTGGCTAGCTTCATTAATCATATGGGCATTGTAGTTGCTCATATGGAGTTCGGAAAGTAGGCAAGCGGAAATTATTGGGGACTCTATATTCACCTTTTTAACGTTATTTCTTAAGCGTTATTCAGCATTGGAAATTAATGCTGACATTGTTGGGGTGCAGTGTATAAAGTGTATGTATATGAAAACGTTTGCATGCTTTCACTCAGAGTCACTTCATGCGATCTACGCTTTGCAGCTGTATCTTTTACGATCAAACCATGTGATTTCTTCTAAGTACTTTTGATTTAATATTCAAGATAGAGCAGAGCATAAAAAGAATTAGTGTTTTCTGAATACAGTACACTGTATGGGACCATTTATCTTCAGAATAAGTCTCTGTGTATAGTTCATTGCTCGTGAAATAGTTATAACTGTTCTCTCCTCCTAGATGTGGAGAGTCATTTGTTTTATTTTAAAAATTGAGTGACATTTCTCAGCACAGTTACTAGTTGAGCATTAGCTAAGTTGATTGTGACTTTGATGACTGTCTGACAATTAGATTCTGTCAGTGATTCAATTTTTTCGGTCCATTATGTCAGGTAGTCACTTGAACACAAGTTACACACAGTTTACTCTGGAATATCAGAATTTATTCGTGAGACGGAGACATCAGGTGTACTTTGCGAGTTGGAAGTTATTTCACATAATCTTAGTTACCGGCAGTAAAACGTCGAGTGTTCGTGAGGCGAAAGAATGTCAATAAGCATTCTTCGAATACTTTCGAAATGCTTGACATAAACTTGTATAGAAGTTCTCTTAACTTGTAGCGCTAATTAATAGTGTTCTGTTGCTTTCGAACGGGACTATCACTATTCATACTTCTAAAAATTATTTAATTGGTTGGAGGATTTCATCATGAGCTGACATTGGTTAGAGAACCACTGGAAAACAAGTACTCGATTGTTGGACAACCAGCTGTTTCGATAGCCTGGTTTGGGACTCTTCGGTGGTACGCACCCACCGTCTAAATGGTCTACGAACTAGCTTACCTTGTAACCAGAAGGTCCTAAGTTTAAACCATGGCGGTGGATGCGTACTGCCGAAGAGTCCCAAACCGGGCTGTCAAAACAGCTGGTTTTCCAACGGTTCTCTAACCGATGTCAGCTCATTATGAAATCCTCCAACCAATCAAACAAAATCTATACAAACCAATACTTTAAAATATATGGCAATTATCAAGATATTATGTTCTCAACTAAAGAAAAATACTGGTCACTCTTTTACTCTGCATTCCTTGAGTTTTGTGTATTTTGATTATGTTCAACTTTCATCAACACATGTATTGCTGGTCAAAATTTGTATTATTTTTTCTCCTAAGCTGACTTTTATTTAAGAAGTTTCAAAATGTTTGATACAATAGTCGTTAAAGAAATGAATATCCTAATAGACAACTATTTTTAGGATGATGAGCTTATAGTTCGTCTGTTCGTAATATTCTACTCCATGACTGAGATAGGTGTCAACTGGGGGATGCTTGAAGTTTTTAACCGTGTTTCTTTGTAGCATTGTTTCCACTTAGTAGAACCATGAAAGGAGGGAAGTGAGGTTAAAGCCATATCAAGCTACTGTCTTTCAGTGATCTGCAGAGTACCCCTATATTAATTGCAAATCATCCACCTGAACTACAAATCTTCTCTATTATTCCTAGGGAAAGTTCAGAATTAACGGTGACAGTTTAGATGCGTCTCATTACTAACAACTAAATTTCGGGCATTATTATCTAATTACCCTTTTTCCCAAGTATTGGTGTGTAGGGATTAGATTGATTGGTTACAGGATTTCATCATCAGCTAGCATCTGCTAGAGAACCATCGGAAAATCAGCTGGGAGCACTGGACAACCAGCTGTTTTGACATCCAGACTTGGGACTCTTCATCAGTACGCACCCACCTCCAGGGTTCGAACCCAGGACCTTCTGGTCACAAGGTGAGCTAGCTCGTAGATCATTAAGTCACTGGGACCCGATCCAATGGCCAATTCATGACATGGCGCGACCGCCAGACAATGTCTTCGGCGGGTATTTGTCTTCACACCCGACTCGCTGCACCCTACTGGTCACGACTTCCCACTAGAACCGAGGTAACTTCCTACTTGAATAGGGGCAGTCGCCAGTGAGCATCTCATTGATATTCAAGTATTGGCTTGTAGGGATTTGATTGATTGGTCACAGGATTTCATCATCCTTTTTTTCTCAGATAGTAGTTTTATGGCATAAAGTTTACTAATTGAACGTGAAGTCTGCTTTCTTTCTTTCCAGGTGCGTGTAGGAATGTATATATTTGTACTCTACTCTAACCTCCCATATCTTTTCGTTCCTGCTGACTAACTCAAAATGTATTTATACTTAGGTAGTTTCGGTATCCATTATAATCTCTATTGCAGTATTTTAAAGTGCAGAATATTCTGTAGCGCAATGATATAGCAGCTTTCGCAAAAATTAGATAGAGCATCCAGTCATAGTAGTTCTTTTTGTATCCCTACATAATCTAAGTAAAAATCAGTGAACGAAGAATTACCTTAATGGAAAAAATGTTATGTACAGACTCATAATATAACACTTTTTGGTCGATAGTGACTAGTATGGGAATCCAAGATAACGTGCATTTCGTCCTATTTAAGATTGGCTCGACTGCTGCAAGTACCTGAATTCCATAGTGAGTGATGGTGTTCCCACCGAGGCTCGAACCCAGTACCCATAGTTTCAAACGTCAATCAACATGAAAGTCCAAATTGATTAAAATAATGGCTGATACCCGTCGCAGAAGAGGTGACTCTTGTCGTCCTAATTGGTCTAGTAGGTGCTGGGTTTGAGCCTTATTGGTGGAAACACCATTACTCACTAGAAAATGCAGGTAGGGTATGTCCAGCTGACGAGTTAGTCTCAAATAAGATTCCACTGCTAGTCACCATCCACCAATCTACTACAGGTTAAATAATCAGACATTGTCGAAGCATCTGCACAAGGAGCCGACATGTCAACGTGAGGCCGAGCACGTCGGTCTAATCAATCAATGGAAAAGTTAAAATTGAATTACTTAGTTGGTAAATGAATAAAATAATCGGTAGTGTTAACAACGAAATAGGGGAAATTTTAGTGATAGGTTATCAATATACGTCTCAAAATTTCTCGTAAATCAAGAAGTTTGATTATTATTTTGGTTGGAAGAGGTTAATAACTCTCCGGTTGTTCAAAATACTCAGCTTAAATTCATTTGGCAATAGTGGGTCTAGAAAATGAAACCAAAATTCATTTTTCACTGTCACTATTATCATGAAGATTTCTGATTTTATAGATGGACATTTTATTATAACTGCTTAATGAGATAGTGTTGGTAGAAAAAAGTCAATGTTAGATGGTTGAAGACAACTGGCAGGAAGCCTTGCACCTAGGTTTCGTGCTGGTTGGCACTTACTAGTCAGGCAGCAAGGCGTATCTTCAACCGTGGAGGAACTCATTTCCCTTCTGGGATTCGAACCCGCGTCACCCAGTGCTGCAGTCGCGACTTTACCTCTGAGCTATTCGGGCTCGCAGTTGACTTCCTGTAAGACTGACTGTATTAGTTAATTTGATTGTGCATAGTTCATACTCACTCAAGTACCAAAAAAATAGCAACTCAATTCACTGCAATCATTCAAATGAGTATATAGTCTGTTATAAAACTTTGTGATGATTACGTCAGCGATACCTTAAGCTTCTCGTGATTGCTGTGCCGTTGTTTGCTCCATAAGCAGTAAACTATTATTACTATTATTCAACTGTACAAAAAGCTGATTATTTACTTGGTGATAACGACTAAATTAATTAGTATCCGTTTTTCGGACAGGCTTCTATGCGCGTTTAACTTCATCATTGTTATTACTGTTCATTTTCTATTTGTTTGTTGGTGACGAATAAAACTCAACTCCTTGACACCATTTCTGACGCTACAGCGCAACAAAATAGCTTGTCTGTTGGCACTACTGCTGGCGACCATCCTCTACACTATATATGGCCACTGAATCCCTGCATTTTATGGCATGTGGCGTCTCTACCTAACTCCGTAAAAGAATCTACAGCTTCACAGCTTCTGTTATGTTTTTTGTTTGTGGCTATTTGGATGCCTTTTCCATCATATTTTGTCCAGCAGTATTCGTTAGTCGTGTGCTTTTAGAAGTGTGTGAGCGGTTGTTACTTCTCAGCTGCTCACACCGTGGAAGTTGATTTTTTCTTCGCGTACCTGAAACAGAAGGAGAGTTAGTGTTGCGTGATCACAGACCCCAGGAGACAACTTCTTGAATCCCGTCACACACGGCCTGTATGACCTGGTTTCTTGGATTGGTTGCATATTGGCAAACTTACCGCCGGTTACGGACCACTGTAAGGTAAGTGTGGGGATGTACAATTTTTGGGGTCGACCTTTACTAGCCCACCTGACTGCTGTTACATCCCTGTTCCCTAGCAGTA